GGCCCGTGGCCATGGCGCCCTGAAGCTCGCCGCCGGCAGCCGAGAGGAACCGCGGGCCACCGGCTGGGGGGGCAGCTGCGCCCGGCCCAGTCGCCCGGCTGCGAACCAAGAAAACTTTATTGGCAACTACCTTCCCCCGCGACCCGTACAGCCGCCGGAGAACGGGGAAGTGGGCGGGCCAGAGCAGCAAGGCCCAGCCGATCCTGGGCTGAACCGGAAGCGATGGCGCCCGCGGTGGGCGGGGCCGAGACGGAAGGGGAAGCGACGGGAAGCGGGAAGGGCTCCACAGGGCGCATGCGCAGTTCCCGCGGCTGGGGGGCGTGGGGCGATACTGGAAGCTGAGGCGAGCGCGGCTACGGGAGCCCTGCGGTGATGGCCAAGGTCGCAGCCTCTAGGCTCAGGGTTTTACCCTTGCCCAGTTTCAAAAAGTTTTAAAACTGTTTGCGTAGAGTGCACTTCCTAGCTCCTGTTTTACAGCTGAGAACACTGAGTCTCTGAGAAATGATTTACCAACGTTTACAGAAATCACGCTCAACCAGGACCGCAACGTGGTGTTTTGGTGCCCCGCTCGCTTAAGTCATGCTGCTGATTCCTTGAGTGTAGGCCCCCGGGGAAAGAAGGCAAACTCACTAGGTCTGACTGGCAGAGAGGAGCGTCCCTGGTGGGAAAATAAGCAGCGAGATTCTGTGGAAGCAGGAGAGGAGAAGGCTCTGCTGCGGTAGATTTATTTGGTGATTCGTCTGTGTGAAGCTGGCCTCTGTTCCCCAGCCTTTAAACTGCTGAGGGCTGCTTCGGAACACACTTCCTAACTTCGCCAAGGTCCATTCGAGTTAGAGCCTGAGCTGGGATTGCCGGGCCTGCGACCCGAGGAGGTCACCCACCACGTCTGGCCAGGCTCCCTCTCCCGGGCCCAGCACAGCGCCTGTCGCAGAGCGGGAATCCGGACATGTTTGCTGCGCACAGCTAAACAGAAGAATGCTGTTGAATGTCCTAGTTCAGTGGCGGCTGTGTGTCTTTCTGTGCCGTGCGCTGCCCGCTAGTTCAGTCACAGGCAGTGAGCGCTCCTGCGGGGACCTGGCTTCTCTGTCCCGCACGCAGCATTCCTTAGGCCTTAAGGCCCCTTCTACAAGGCACCCTCTGGTCAAGCCGACAGTGAGCTTGAAGCCATCGGAGTATATTTAGTGAGAACACGCAGTATGTCCTTCCTGATGTGAAAAAATTCTGACTTCCCTTAATCCTTTATGACTCGAATCTAGAATTCATCCCAATCTTTTTTTAAAAAAGCTGTATTTTCCACTTTCCCCACCTTTAGGGGGTAAGAAATGCCATAAACACCACCTGTAAGATACCTTTAAGATTTCTAGTTTTAACCATTAACTATAGAATGAATAAATAAGCCTGTTAGCTGCTGCTTGAAGTGATGTCTCTTTGATTTGTCTTAAAGGTAATCCGTTTAAGCCTAAATTCTGACCTCATCATGCTACTAATCTGTACCTTACCTCTGACCATTAGTCTGGAAGAAAAGAGTGACAATTTTTTTGAGAAAAAATAGAAAGCCTTGTCTATCAGTTAGGAATTTCATTGAGATACTAGTAGTAACAGAATTTAGTCTATAGTGGCTTATTAAACAAATTAGTAGGTTATGCCATTTTACATTAAAGAAGTCTGGAGATGGGTTGTCTAGAGCTGGTATGGTGGCTCCACCAGGTCTTCAGAGACCCAGGCTCCATTTGTCTTTCTGCTCTGCTATTCTCAGAGCATATTTCCAGCTTCCAGGTCAATTCATGGTACAAGACGGCAAGGGACAAAAGGACTTTCCTAAAGCCCCGCCAAATGACTTCAATTTATACCTCAATACCCACCCCTTGCTCCAAGTAGGGCTGGGAATTATGTGTGTGTGTGTGTTTCTAAGCTGGGCATATTATTCTCTCTAATAATAAAGGGGTTCTGTAAGTATGGAAGAAAGGGAAAATGCATATTGAGCAGGTAAATAGCAATCTTTGCCACACCTAGTTTTCAGATCAAAATGTATTTAGTTTAAAGGGCAGGGCCAGTGCCGTTGAGAAGCATACTACTTGACATCCTTCACAATTTGATTTTGTTTTTGTAATATTTTGTCTTAGTTATTATTTTGTACCTCAGGTTGTAATCATACTCCTTAGTTCACAACACATTGTCAACATTGGCCTGTGGACAGCTCTTCTCCTTTTTTGTTTTTTTTTTCTTTTGGTTTGTGTTTTTCACTGTGGTTCTATATCCCCATTACCAATATGGGCACCCAATCTTAAATGTCTGATATATATCCTTAAATATAAATCTATCCTTATAAAATATGTTTCATGTGTCTTTCTTTTACATAAATAGTATTTGGTTAAAAGATGTTTTAAAAAGTCATGTATATTGCTGTATATATGTCTAAGTGCTGCATAGTATTTCAAGGTATATGTATACATTTTATTTATTTGTTCTGCTAGTCCTCAACATCTAAGTTATCTCCAATTCTCTATTAAAACAATCTGTACCACAATGAAAACCATTGTTCATACCACTTTACTGACCTGTGCATTCATTTCTTTGGGATATGTAACAAGGCATATGATCTCTGGTTCATAGGGCAAACATTTAAGTTCACTACGTTTCACTAGATTGCTTTCCAGAATGGCTGCACAACTATACACTCTCACCAACAGTGCACAAGGAGTTCTGTGTCCTCCACATCCTCTCCAATGCACAATATTAGCCACTCCTGTACTTTTTGCCATTTTTATGAATGTAATGAGATATTTCATTGTTGTTTTAATTTGCACTTCTCTGATTACCAGAGGATTTCATGTATTTGTTGAAATGGCTATTTGGACTTTCCCTTCTGTGAATTGCCTGTTCATATCCTTTTGCCTCTTTCTTGTTCTTTTGCAGTTCTTTCTACAATCTAGATAGTAATCCTTTATCAGTTTTAAATATTGTGACTATCTCCTCCTAGTCTGTCATATATCTGTTAATTTCATCTGTACTGTCTTTTATTGAACAGAAATCCTTAATTTTTATGCTGTCAAATCAGTATTTATTTTACTTAACTTCATTTTATTTCATATATTTTATGATTTGAACTTTTGAATCTTATTCATGAAATCTTTCCCCACCCTGAATCATATTTTCTTCTATAGCTTTATATTTTAACTTTCACATTTGGTTCTCTACTCCAACTGGAGGGATTCTGATGTATTTTTTTTCCACGTAATGACCTAGTTTTCTTAAGACCATCTCCTTTACATTGCTTTGAATACCACCTTAATCATCTCTCAAGTTCCCATATATACGTGGGTCTGTTTCTGAGCTCTCTCTTCTGTCCTGTTGGTCTATTAGTCTGTTCCTATACAGAACCATTCTATTTTCATCACTTTGGCTTTGTAGTATGTCTTAATATCTGGGAGGGAAAGTTCCCACTCTGCTTTTATTTTTCAAAATTGACTTATTCATTAACTTCTATTTTTCATATAAATGTTAGAATGAGTTTGTTGAGTTCCTCAAACAATTCAATGGCATTTTTATGAAGATTCTATTGAATGTATAGATTTTGGGGGGAGAATTAATATAAAACTTTACTATGTTAAGATATCCCATCCACGTACATTCTTTTTTTGCTCTATTTATTCTTTCTTTTTTGTACTTTAATAAAGTTTTAATACTTTTTCTGAAAAAGGTCTTGGGCATTCTTTCTAAGGTTATTTAGTAGGCACTCCTTGTTTTATTGTGAATGAAATCATATTTTGTAGTATATTTGACAGAGAAAAAGAAGTAAGTGGTGGATAGGTTTCTAGCTTGGACAAAGGAGGTAGGGACTACTGGAGAAGAGTATGTTACATGGAGGAGGAAGGGACGCTTTAGTTTTGATTTTGTTGAGAGTATGGAGTTTGAGGTCCCTGCAGGACATCCATTACAGATGTTCAGTAAGTAATGAACATTCCAGAAGCCCATCTGAAGCTTAAGAAACAGATGTGGCTGTAGAACTCGTACTGTGTAGAGCAAACACAAATGGCTGCAAGGGCTAAGGAGAGAAAGCAAACGGATGGACAGGGCAGTGAGCAGCTCCTACTAGTTCCAGAGAGCTGTGGGACGCGGTGGGATGGTGGACCCAGTGCTGCCGAGCTTCTGATTTTCCAAGAAAAGCCAGAAATTTGGATTTTTATGTGCAATCTCTGTTTAAAAACAACGGTTGCAATTAGAGAAATAATTTCTGTGACTTCACTGTTATATGCTCTTCACTATTCCTGTGCACTTCAGTACTGCTCCAGGGTCTCCTCATTTTTATCATCACGGCCACTGCCCTCTTTGCCCCTCTCCTCCCCTTCCTTTGTTTTCTAACTTTTCTCTTTCTTTTCTTCTCTCTTTCCCCTTGATTTTATGATTCTGTTTGGAAGAGTTTAACTCTCTCTATATATTGCTAGTCAATAAAGAGCTCTTTTTGGAATCAGCTAAATCCTGAGTCTGGTTTAATCTTCAGGCCTTTGATTATTATTTGTAGTAGATGCTGTGGAAATCACGTAAATGGCCTCACTTCTTTATCCGTCCTGTATCCACATCCTTTGCCATGTGACTTGGTGGTTGCCTTCACTAGAAGCAGAATCTCCCCTCCACCTTGGATGCGGGCTTGGCTGTGTGGTTTGCTGTGGCCGGTTGAATGAGGTGATTGCCAGAACGGTGGGCCACTTCCCAGCCTAGGTCTCAGGAGGCCTTAGTATTTCTGCTTGCTTTCTTGGATTCCTGCTATTGTCATGAGAAGGACATTCCCCAGGCATGTCTGGTGATCTCACAAGGAGAATAAATGACACATGGAACAGATCTGTTCCGGCTAAGGTACTCTAGCTAAGTGAGCCTGGAGCAGAGGCCCCAGGAAATCTTGGGACAGTTAGCGATCCCAGTGGAGATCAGCCAGCCCCCACCTCTCCACAGGCTTGTGAGAAATAATAAATGATGTTTGTTGGAAGCCACTGAGTTTTGAGGTATTTTGTATGCCACAATTACTGATACTCAACCTGATCTAGAGCCGTTCCAGGAGTCTGTGAGTTTCAGCAGGCTGGAGTTCAAGCACCTGAGATATTACTATTTTCCGTAACATAGGAATATTGTCAATTAAATAAAACCTAATTCATATCCAATTTCTTTTAGAGTGTCATCAATTCTATATTTAATGAACATTCACCTGTCATAATTTATGTTGGATCCACTGGGTAGCCAAACCTCTCCTATCTAATCCCGTTTGATGTCACACAAGAATATCTGGGGAGCCACAGCATTT